GGATTAATGGTCGCATTGCATTTCGAGATCCTCAAACGCATTGTCTAAGGGCCATAAAGAAATACTTGAAGCGATTATCGTCATCCTTCTCAATAAAAAATGTCGATTCAATATTAATTCTTCCAATGTCATAGCAAAACCTGAGCAATTTAAATAAACAATAATCATAATTTAAATAATTAAATAAACAATATTAAATAAATTGAAAAATTAACAATTGAATTAAGTAATTAATTATACATTAAATAAAGAATCGATAAATAATTAAATAAACAATTGAAATTAATGATTGAATTAAATAATTAGTTAGATATTAAGTAAATAATTGATTAAATAATTAATTAAATAATTGAAATTAATGATTGAATTAAATAATTAGCTAGATATTAAGTAAACAATTATTAAATAATTAATTAAACAATTGAAATGAATAACTAACATTTGAAATAAATATTAAATAAACATTTAAACAAAGAAATACCTGGCCAATTTAGCATAACTCTCCTCGATCGAACCCATCAAATCCTCCAACGCGCATTTTTTGGCCTTTCAAGCCTTCTGATAACTCATGACCACCCCGTACTCTCGACGAACGTCATTGATGATATTCGAAGGTTTGTATATTGTTCGTGTGTAATACTCCGAAAATTTATGCTAGTTTAAATTTCTTTAAGATGGCGATTTAACTTTCAATACTATTTTTGGCCATATGAACGTGAGTCCTGAAACTTGTGTTTTACTTCTCGACCAATGAACCATGGTCGGGCTTGCCTTGATCATTTCGACCAATATCCACTTCGCAAGTATGTTCCCGTGCATACTTACGAATTACAAAGAACTCATTCATATCCATTTTCGTTGCTTGCAAACGTCAAAGGCAATTGTCGTCAACGCAGACAATTGTGTAAGTTGACTTGTTTGATTTCTTCATTTTAAACTCGAAATTGTGTTTCAAAGCAATTCGTTGAACAGCTTCTTGCAAATCTTTCTTCGTGTCAAACAATTGCTCGACATAAAAATCTTCATCATCAGGGACTACAAGCGAATAATTAGAGGACCGTGCACTCGATCCAGCCTGTGAGCTCCCACTCGACTCATGTCTCAGACGGGATAAAGCAATCAAATTCTCATTTGTAAAGTCATTATCTCTTTCGTTGTCTTGAACTACCGAACAAATTTTATGTGTAACAGTGAAATCATGGTGAGGAGTAACTGTCTCTGGAATAACCACAACATCATCACGAACTATCTCCATTGTGTTCCAAAACTCATTCACATTACGATCCCCTCCATCAAAATCTTCGTGTTCACTTTCAGGGATATTCTTCTTCATCGAAGTTATGCAAATAGGAATTGTAAGTTTTCGATTCATTTCAATTAAAACCTTCATTTCAGTTTCGGAAATAACCATTATAGGTGGAATTGAAATGGACGTATGCTCGCCCATTAGAAATCCTAATTCCATGTCATAGTCAGAGGGATCGACTTTCAGCAAATTATGTATCTCATTGTACATTTCTGCATATGATGTACTTGATGTTATTACAATTGCAATACAACCATGTCTTTCACTCATCCATTTTCACACCCATTGATCATTTTCATTCTTTTCAAATTCACTAAAATAACAAATTGGGACAGCAGCTGATCCCATATCTGCATTACGAAACATCATTTATTAAAAAAATTGTAATTATGAGAATAAAAGAACGAAAAAAAATATGTTAGGCAAGACACAAAAAAATAAAAAATAAGAGCCTGGACAGTCCTGGCCGGCTGTTGTCCGGGCCCGCTGTTAACAGGCGACCCGGACTGTCTGGCCGGCTGTCTATCTGAATTTTCTATTTTGCTGATTTTTACTGAACAGATGAATTTTTTTCCTCGTTTTTAATAAAAAAATATACATTCGTTTAAGACTGTAATAATTTATTTTTCTAAAATTATCCGCTGAAATAAGATTTAAAGATTCAAACAATGTACTAATTTAACTAAAATGAAATTAAAAATACGTATTTGTACTTATCAATTTCGAGTGCCGGCTGTTAGTAATATTTTTTTGTTGAGCCTTTGATAATTTTGTAAGATTTTAATATTCAAGCAGATGAAAGATGAAATTTCTTTTTAACTGTGTTGGAGAATCTGATAAGGAAAGTGATTTTGTTTTCAAAATTTAAGTGAGAGTGTTTAGATTTATCAATTTTTTGAAATAGGATATTATTGTCTTTTGAACAAATGATATGTTTTTGTAATTACAAAATATAATAAGGGCAAAAATGACATTTACTCTTCAAAAGGCCCTTTTGGTGAATGACAAAAAAAATTTAGTCAATGTCACAAAGTGATTTTTTGACTAGGTGCTTTTGAAAAGGACCTACGGATCTTCGTTGTTGCTCGTCGGACCCCTCTTGATTCGGGTCACTACTCGCACCCATTTCCATTTCTTCCCTTATCAAATGAGATTCTCTCGGTCCCTGAAGGGGGATGATATAAGAGAAAATGATAGAGAATGTAAAAATGAAAAATAAAGGCACGATCGATAGTTAATTATGAAGAGAGTTGTTCTTGTATAGTGTAAGAACAGTCTTATGGATCCAAAATTAGGTACCACAAAATTTAATGGTTTTACTTATGAAAATTGATTTTTTTAATCATTAAATGAGTCCTACCAGTGAATGTAGACATAAAAAATGATGAAATAACAATCAAAAATTGATTTTTTGAATAAAAAATTGCTACCAAACGGGAGCTAAATTAGTAAATCTTTTCTTTTTTTTGTTGAATAAATGAAAAAATAATCAACCCCTATTTGATGGGGATTGAAAATCAGACTTTTAGGAAATTTTAATGAAATTTGATAAAGTATATAGTTTAAAAGTTGTGAGTTTCATCAAATATGTGACTAAAATTAATTGATAATTTTAATTTAAAGCCTGTTTGTCATTCTTTAAAATTTTAAGTTGTTTACTACAGTATTATTTTCTACCACACCTTCACACCATAAAATGTTCTACACAAAGAATCGATAATTTTTTTTTACTTTTTAACCATATATTCTTAAAAAAGTACTATTCAAAACTCTTAGTTTTTAAATAACGGGTGACAAACAGAGACTTAAATTAAAACCTGAATCTTAATTTCTACCAAACAAGAGATTTGTGATTTTCGAACTCTTTTTTGTCAAGTAGATTTATGTAACAAATGTAGATTTAAGCATTTAGATATCAACTTATATATACTTAATTTCATAAAAATTACTATAATTTAAAAAGAGCCCCATGAACTAATAAATATATATAATGAGTAATACATATGGCTTTTATTATACATGAAAAAAAGAGTCAGCCCGCAACATATGAAGAGACGAAGCAATAAGATTACAGATTGGCTCCAAAAGTCGAAATCCTTGTTCTGGCCAAGGTGCCATTTAACTAGATGGGTACCGAAGCCCTAACAAAGAGTCTATACCGAAGTCCGAAGAGGCGAAGAAGCTGTCATGTTTGCTAATCTGACGAATATCTTTATGAAAAACTGATTAGACGTCTACTTTATTTTATGTCAGAAATATCAACCTAGTAGTATATGGTAGTTGACATTTTGTCAATGTAATAAAATGCATGTGTAAGAAGGATGTGCTCCCTTTTATCATTTACTTGCAAAAGTTGTAATGGATTTTGGGTGAGATTATCACTGTTCGTGTGAGAGCTTTTCGATAGCTTCACCAGTCTCTGAACTGCTTAGTCTCGTGTCGAATAAGCACTCTGTGTCCATTCTACCGTCCGATCAAATCAACGATCCAAACACACTGAAATTTGCCTGCGTGGACGCAAGTGGGCCCAACATCTATTGACATCATTTTCGAAGGTCAAGAGAATGTATTTAAGAATAGTAGATTGATAGAGAATGTGTGGTTAAAGAATGATAAAAAGATTTGAATTTGAGTTTAATATTATTTTATTGAAGAATATATGATTGAAATGATGTCAAATTACTTTTTAAAAATGTGGTTCAAAAAAGACCTTAATCTTAACTTTTGACTTTATCATCTTCTTCAATCAGACTATTTCATTATTTAAAGTAACCAAAATCAACAAAATATGTAACATGACTATTACAATTAGTGATTTGACTAATATATAACTTGAGAGCACGTTAAATAAAATTGCCCTTATTTGATTTTTATTATTTCAAAATTTCCTTTTATCACTCTCTTTTTCAAATAGATGTTATTCAATAAAATAATATTATATATAAAATTAAAAATTTTCTAATGTTCTAATCATACATTTTTCATTAATTCACTGTTTCGAAATGCATTTTACACCAAAAAATATGGCTCAAACATGACCTTGTTAGTCAAAACTCAAAGTTAGGGAACTAATTTCACCGCCTAAGTCACAATTTCATTGTTTTTCTAAAATTGTTAGAAACAAAATGATGAAATTAAAATATAAATTTAAGTACTTAAATTGAAATAAATCAACATTTAGTGACTAATCTGAAACGAGATGTAAGTTGAGTGACGCTGGTGCTTCTCCGCAAAAATCTCTACCATCTGGGTTTTGCGAAAATGCAAACCGAAGTTTCCAGCCCTCCGCCTCGCTCCGCCCTTCCACAGAACTCCTTCGCCGCGAAGCCGGGCCCATTTTCTGACGATTTCTTAGTACTTTCTCAATATCTTCAACTTAAATTACATGTTCACTTTTATTGCTTCTGAATTATCTACTAAATTTTCTGACGATTTCTTAGTACTTTTATTTTTATTTTTTACGTAGGTTTTGTTTAGTTTCTCCAATATCATGAATGCATTATGCGGAGCAGATACAGACATATCCCGTTGCCTTACCAATTTATTTCACCCGAATTTAGGCTCGGTAAAGTTTAATGCTAGTAATTTGAGCACTGGGCTTTTACCGTCGTTGTACAATAATTCCTATAAAGAAGTGCAATCTAGGAGTAGGACTGATGGAATTGTGTTATCCATATCCTGCTCCGGTACTTAAAACGATGTTGAATCTGCCAAAGGAAGTAGGGCTGATGGCCTTACGTATAAGGATGCTGATGTTGACATTGATGCGGATTCGGAACTTGTTAAAAGGATTGCTAAGATGGTCCCTGGAATTGGAGGTTTTGGTGGGCTCTTTCCCTTAGGTATAACGAACTTCATTCATTTACAATTAATTATAGCTTATGAGTATGCCAGTGTCGGTGGTGTTATTTTGGAGGTTTTTTATATATTTATTTATTTTTTTCCCACTCGTGAGTACACCAAAGCGTTTAATAACACTACAGCACACAACAAATCGATTCAGAGGTTTAAGAGGAGGAAAACAATGATCTTTTTTATTTGTTCATGCTGTCAGATTATTTTCAGTGGGTACTCTCATCTCTTGACACCGTTTGAATCGTATTTTCATTGTTTATTTACAGATTTTTGGTGTTCTTACTTCAGACTTCAGTTGTTAAGTATGTGCTTTTGACGGTCGTCCATCACATGTTGAAGAAGTTTCCACATGGTGTCTAAAACGCAATTTCTTTCCTGAATTGAAACATAATTAAATTAGAATCAAGTGTATGTTGAAAAGTATTAACCCCTGTTTAGTTTCTATGTTTTGGTTATTTATGCATTTTGTATGGTTGTCTAACTTTCTTCTGTATGTTTCCTCTAGTTCTCTTGTTTTGTAATTCTTACTAGGCTCTTCCATCTTAGTTTCATGTGTAAAATCATCTATTCATTCACTTGTCCACAGGGGATTCTTATCTTGTGGCTGGCACAGATGGAGTAGGCACTAAACTTAAGCTGGCATTTGAGACAGGGATCCATGAGACCATTGGAATTGATTTGGAAAATATTGTTGGTTTCTATTTTTGTTCTATCAATCCTGTCGAGGTCAAGATTAAACTGCAATATTTTATCAGGTCGCAATGAGCGTGAATGACATAGTCACATCTGGAGCAAAACCTCTTTTTTTCCTCGATTACTTTGCTACAAGTCATCTGGATGTCGATCTTGCAGAGAAGGTATACCAATTTCCTTTGGTTTCAGAAGATTGTAGACATATATTTTTTTTACAAAAAATCAATTAACTTGTTATTCTTGACGCAGGTCATAAAAGGCATAGTTGATGGTTTCCAGCAATCTGACTGTACTCTTTTAGGGGGAGAGGTACTTGTAGCTACTTTTTTTTTCTCTTTATTTTCAACTAAAAGGGCTTTTAAATAAGTGTACGTTTCTTTCAGACTGCTGAGATGCCAGATTTTTATGCAGAAGGTGAGTATGACCTTAGCGGTTTTGCCGTGGGAATTGTGAAAAAAGAATCGGTTATTGATGGGAAAAACATAACGGTTGGGGACGTACTCCTTGGCCTGCCATCCAGTGGAGTTCATTCAAATGGGTTCTCTCTTGTCAGAAGGTTTAACTTCCCCTTTTACTCGTGTCAGCCTCAATACCCTTCAAGATCTTAACCTATCCATTCCATTCCTTGTGCTTTTTATATCTTTATATATTCCATCATTTGTGTACAGGATTCTCAGGCACAGTGACCTTTCGTTGAAAAATCAACTTCCTGGTTCATCTGTTACCCTAGGCGAAGCTTTAATGGCGCCTACTTGTATCTACGTCAAGCAGGTCATACCTCGAGCACCTTCTGAATTTGTTGTGCCTAATGACATCTCATTTTCTCACCTGATTTGATGAGTTCAGGTTCTTGACATTATAAGCAAAGGTGGCGTCAAAGGGATAGCTCACATCACTGGCTGGGGTTTTACAGATAATATACCTCGTGTGTTTCCGAAAGGTCTTGGAGCTGTCATATACAAGGACTCATGGGTGGTTCCTCATATTTTCAAATGGATTCAGGAGGTAAGAATCATTTATGCCGTAACCTAAACACTGCCCTTGAACCCTTTGTTTCGATTTATTTTTTGGTATGTACTTTACACGGTTAAGCTCCATTTTTTATCGGTTGTTTTCTTTATGCAACATTTGCACCTTTGTAATTTTACTTCTATTTTTATTTATTTTTTGAATCAAATTTGCTAGGCTGGAAGAATTGAAGATTCTGAAATGAAATGGACTTCTAATATGGGGATTGGGATGGTTCTTGTGGTGAACAAGGAGACTGCTCTTAAAATACTTGGGGATGGACGTGGCACAAATACAACTTATGAAATTGGTGAGGTTATACATGGTGATGGAGTGAGATACCGATGATAGATAGAGCAAAAGAGGCTCATAATCAAGGTTTGATCAAATTTTGTGTTAGTAATTAGAAAAATGCGCGTGGGTTTTCTATTTCCATAGTTATCATGTTGTGAAAGGTATTCATGTAGCGGCTAGCTTTGAGATACTTGTTTTGATTATATGAAGGCAATGAGCAAAGACTATTTATCTCAACGACAATTCTTTTTCCAGTGCAAGTTTGTAAAATAGCTATGTTTATGCGAGGTTGTGGATCATAATTTTGTGTAATTTTAATTTTATTTTCAAGGGATCCTTTAGTCTTGAGAAATTTGATCACGCATCATTCCTTCGGCACCAAAATTGTGTTATAATCAAATTCAGTTGAAATTGTATAGAGATTTCAGATGCTCTAGAAAATATCAGAACAAATAAAGACCAGGAGAATACAATGAAAATTGAATAAAAAACGATTAACTCAACACGGTTGTAAGAAAATTTAATAACCAATTTTTGAAGTGAATGGGCAGCTTCTTGGATTTGTTTTTATGGCTCCTCATTTTACGGTTTTTTATACATAATCAGGCAGGTTTCTTTAACCGGTTCTCAATTCTATTCAACCCAGTCCGACTTTGAGACGATGAAATGAGGATGAAAAAATTATTTTGAAGGGAACTTCGAAGAAAACTGTGTGAAGTTAATCTAAATTCCACCAGCTTAAGACGGGAAGCAAAAATAAGTACTTGCTTCCTAGAGTCTCATTTAAGCCATGAAAAAAGCAAGGGGAAAACAGAAGGAAAAGAGAGAGAGAAAGAAAAAAGGAAAATTTTCCTTGAAGAAATGGTTATTCTCCATGCACTATAGAATTTAAGACATCATTAATTCGTTGTTCGGTCACTTAAACACACACAAGATAGTGTAAAAGGCATTTTAGTTTTTCAGAGAAGACAATCACCAGATTTACTATGAAGCTTTGGATTTTATTGAACCTTGTACTAATGCATCGTTGTTCAGGTATTCCAACTCTCTTTTATGTATCTTCTTTGATTTGGGGTCACTCTAACGATTAACCTTAAGCACCATAAATATTTATTGGACTGTTTTTTCAAATTAGTAGAGATTAAGGTGGTTTAATTATTTAGTACTAGGAGAGGCCGAAGCAGCTCTATCTCCTCCAGAAGGCAATACAACATTTCTTGGTGGCACAACATGGTGCATAGCCCATCCATTGGTTTCCCCATTTGATTTGCAGATTGCATTGGATTGGGCATGCGGGTCGGGTCAAGCCGACTGCGGCCCAATTCGAGCTGGAGGTCCGTGTTTCGAGCCCAACACTCTGGTGTCCCATGCGTCCTTTGCTTTCAATAGCTACTACCAACAGAATGGGAATAATGATATTGCTTGTAATTTTGGAGGAACTGCCAGATTAACTCAAACTAACCCCAGTAAGTGGACAACTAACTCCAACCGCTGAACTTATATCATTCTTGATTATAACTTTTATAAATGTCTTTATTTCTTGCTGCAGGTTATGAAAAATGCGTGTATGAAACTTCTGGGTAAGTTATTTTAACATCAATTAATCTGCAAGTACAGATTTTTTTTAACAAAATTGGTACAGAAAGACACTTGTCTTTCTGTGATTTGTTATTGTCAAAAACTGTTTTTGGCAATAGCCAATTACAAAAAGACAATTGTGTTTCTGTACAAATTCTGTAAAAAAAAATATGTACTTATAGCATTGTTCTTTTAACATTGGCTGTCGTAGTTGCAAGCTTTTAAACGGAACGTAGTAGTCTTTAACCTTTTAGTTGCACTATTACTTTCTAACATAAGTCCATTCCTCGCACATTTAACTTTATTGGAAGACATGTTTTGTTTCTCAACTACGAAAAATTATACAATTTCTGTCCTTAGACTTGCGACTCAAATAATAGGATTGGGACTAACGATGCAATTTTTTGAATACAATTTTGATCTCATATTTTTCACTGCATGCAGGCCTGTAAAATCTTCAGCCCCTCCATTATCGAGCTACAAAGCAAAATCTATTGGATGGAAATTTGGTGTACTAATCCTCCTGTTTCAGTATTTAAGAAGATGATTATAATTTGTAGTACATATTGTTCCTACTTTGTAAAAGTTGTACGGGACAGGGCTCTGTTTTGTTTAATTATTCCTTACTTTCTTGTTAATTTAGGCATCTTTTGCAATGTAATATGACATTTATCTATAAATAGTCTGTTTACTTTGAATATTAAAATATTATACCTTGTAACTTTTAATCTTTGTAAGGAATATTGATGTTTGATAAAAAAAATAAATAAATAAATAAATAAAATCCATCAGAATCTTATCCGCTGGGGCTCATCCAATACTATAGTGACATATCGGCAATGAGCAGCTAATATATCCAGCATTTTGATTTTGAAGCCACAAATTCCTCATGTAGCTGTGGTACGGAGTTTGTAGCAAACTCTTAATATATCAAAATGGCAAATATAATTAGAATATAACTTGGAAAAAGAAAAAAAAAATACAATTATTCTTTGATCAGTTTCTGAGTTGAGCAAAAATGGCTACTGCAGTGATTACTTCTCTACCACAATTCAGTGGTCTCAGACTCAAACCAGCATCAGCTTCCCCTGTCAAAAGCTTGGTCAGTTTCTCCTATTTTATGTTAGACTGATTAATATCAAACGTGATCGTTCAGATGTGAACGTTTAGTGCTATTCGATTTTCCTTAACGAATGTGATATAAAAGGTACAAAAATGCTGTTTGTACAGCATATTTTTTTACAGCAATTTTCACACCTCCTCATAAAGGTGGGGTCCACGATTGTTTTAATCATAACCCCATCCACTTGTATGTGTATGCGCTGTGAAAAAAGATGTGAAAATTGCTGTACTTGTAGAATGGTTGTAAAAGGTGCATGTTATCGTTCCTCTTCAGGTAGCAGCTCAACCGATGAAGCATAAAGGGCAGGGAGCTTTGGGCGCACGCTGTGATTTCATTGGCTCCCCAACAAATCTGGTAGATTTCAACGCAGTTCTATATCATTCTAGTGAGAATTTGACAGCATTTGACCTTAACTTTTGTTGGGTAGTTGAAAGTCCCTTCATATCACCCATTTAGCCTCGAGGCTAATTATTAATTATCAAACGAGAGTGAATCACTATTAAATCTATGTATTTTCTGTGCGTACTTCTAATTTTTCCTTTTTTTGGCTCTTGTAAACAGATAATGGTGACCTCAACAAGTCTGATGCTGTTTGCCGGTCGGTTCGGTTTGGCTCCATCTGCAAACAGGAAGGGTACTGCAGGATTAAAGCTTGAGGTGAGGGACTCCGGGCTGCAAACAGGGGATCCAGCTGGTTTCACCCTAGCAGATACGCTGGCTTGTGGGGTTGTGGGTCACATTATTGGGGTTGGGGTTGTAATTGGCCTCAAGAACATTGGTGCCATCTAAACAAAACATATTTTGTGTTAATTCCATCAGTATTCATTTGGCTTCATCTTATTCCATATATCATAAGACGTTATCGTATAATTTGGTCTAGTACAAGGATCTCAAGACACGACAGATTTCTATACATCACAATCAGTGAATCACGGTCCAAGAATATTATCTTTCATACTATGATGTAATCCCATATACCCTCTTGTTGATAATCACTTCTTACAAGCTATTCGAAAACTTGCCTCCACCCAAAATTAAAAGGGAAGGGGAAAGGCAACGAGAACAAAGCAAAACCTCGAAACACTTGCTTTGCATCTATTTTGAGGAGATGTACTGTTGAATCGCTGTGCAATGGCCCGGATGACATCACGCTGGTTCCTCGTCTGCACTATTAATGAAGGCAGCTCGTAAGCCTCATCCCAGGAATGTGTAAGATGGTTGGAGTCCCCATTTATGGTTAAAATGTTAAAACTTCCAATAAAGTGCCCCTCGTCAATGTGCCACTGTTGATAGGTTCTTTGCTGGAAGTCTCTTTAGGCAAAAAGCTCGTCAAAAAGATATTGCTGATAGATTGTGTTGATATCAAAAAATAGATAATGATAGTGACATTTCCGGCATCCCAATCAATAAAATTATCCCGACGACTATTTTTGATGAATTATAACTCCAACAATGGTGTCCTCGAGCATGTGCCGTCGTCGAGACATTATGCCCAGCCACATCCCGCCTGGCTGCTTCGCATATTGCAATATTTGTCCTCGAGCATCATCAGTCCTCGGGCATATGCTCCCTCACAACCTACGATAGTTGACCCTTTAGAATTCCTACGCAATTATGACTCTTGACTCCTGCAAGGATTCTATCCCATATATAATTATGGAATTTGACCAACTCCTTAATTATTCAGGACTCCAACAGATAAGGACGTCCAGCTAGTTGAGTCTCATTAGGAGAATGTCGCTTACAACTATAAATACGGAACCTCGAGCCATTATTCAGGTACGTTTTTCATTGTTCTCCAGCATATAGCCTCACGCATATAATTCCCTTTCTGACTTAAGCATAGGAAGAGCGACGAGAACACACCGCGTTGCCTTTGTTTCAGGTACCGGAAGATCACGTTCATGCTCCTCATCAGTCATCAAACTCAGAAAATCTGCAGGTACGATTTTTGGCTTATATTTTTTAAAGTCAATTTTAGAAGCCAATTTCTTGTATGAAAGGGAAATTTCGACTTTCTTTCTATCAGGAGCCCCTTAATTGGTTCGCCCCGTGATCAAGGAAGTCTCGACCCTTTCCCCAGTCTCAAACGAGCTCTCCAAAAGGTGGGAGATTGCCCAATAGGACTTGGGTGACAATCGCCTCCAATTTCAATTATGCTATTTGTACAAATGGTTAACAACGTTGATGCATCAAATAGGTGTTGTTTGAACAAGCATGATTCCTCTCCGGGGGGGCTCAGATAGTCGATCTAACATCAAATTATGTTTAGACAGTAATTCCAGATAATGATAAAAATTCCTCATTGGCCTCCATAAATTAAGGCAATTTGGAGATTAAAAGAAAAAAAAATTGAATCTGAATCCTAAAAATGTGATAGCAGAAAACGACTCCGCAGATGAATGGAATAAAAATCAGTCCACAGATTCCTATCGACAAGCAAAACATGGAATCAATGTTGGTCTAATCATAGCATCGCCGGTCACTGCTAATTCGTTGTTGACGACGTGGCATCGGACCTTTGAGGAAAAAAGGCATTAAATGAAAAAAAAAAAAAATTAATCATAAATTATGAAGGAATAAATAATAGAATTGAATCGCAACCTCAGAGACCCGTTCCAAATCACACACACAGAGAAGCGTCGTGTAGAACACAAAGTCCCGACCAGTGAGCAGAATCGGAAAAAATCCAAAAATGACAGCGTTTAATGGGAGGGGTAACGCCGCCGTGCAACTGCTGCTGTTTAAGAGTGTCATACGGCACTTCCTATACTTAAGGAATTCTTCCTCATCGGCGTCTTTTCAATACGAATCCAAACAAAAACTATTATAATTAAATAATACTATTTGCAGTCACTCATTATCGCAATCGTCTTATGTAGCATATACGTGACAATTAGTAGTTTGTTGCATAATGTAATAAAAAACTACCACATTAATGTATTAATTCTCTAACCGCCACATATATACCATGGAGGACGACTGCAAATAGCATTACTCATTATAATTACAACTCCTATAAACAGAAAATGAAATCGAAGAGTTCAAGGAATCATAGTGGAAACACACACACGGAAAGGATAGATAGAGATAGTGAATTTAGTGCGTCTGCTGGAGGGAGAGGAGCCCTTAAAAAGGAAAACTGAAGGGCTTCAAGGGTGCGACGAGTGCTATAGTTTGCGTTAGGTTTAGGTTTGAGGGTGATCTAGTATTTTTCATTCTACAATTTCTATTACATATTCATTGCATTTGAAGTCTTCAGACTTTGCTCGCTGTAACACTTAAGTATTATTCTTATTTCTATTTTTTCATTGACAAGTAGTAAATATGTGCATTGCATGTCTTATGTACGGAATGAATGGTATGAGTAATATATTTAAGGTAATGTAATTTATAATGTTGAAGAAAAAATTAAAATTGTTAGAGAATATATATATGAATAAAAGTTTTATGAAATTACGTATGAAAATGTTGAAAATTTTGAAATCTAATATTTTATTTGCTTATTTGTCTGTGCTAAACATTGGTTGGACATGTTTTCAACCATTATAGCAACCTTGACCAACTTTGTGGCACAGACGGACACAAAGAAATATCAAATTAAAATATATACATTTGATTAAGTTTAAAATGTTTTGCCCCCATTTGGCACAAATGGAGGACTAAAAATTATCCTTTTAAATGTATCGAGATAATTTTTTTTTATCTATTTATCTAATAAATAACTAAATTATCTTCAATTTTTATGTTTATACAAAAAAGAAAATGCACGAATAATAAAATAAGCAATACTATATTAATTATTTTTTAAAACACACATTATTAATTTTTATTAATACTTAAAAGTTTGGTTATATTATATATTATATTAATTAAACGTGCAATTTATAATATTTGAATGAAAATACTAACAATGTTATATAAGGACAAAATGACAATTTGAACGTTTATATCCTATCTTCACATTTCATAAAAAGAGACTTAATCCTATTGATTGAATTTAATTAGTATAAAGATGTCCATTTTTTTAAGGCTTCATTTCATATAATAATAATAATAATAATAATAATAATAATAATATTATTATTATTATTATTATTATTATTATTATTATTATTATTATATCTTAAAGGTGGTATTAATGATAGATTAATTACAATTTAACTTTACGTAGTCTCCTTTCAAGTATAGAGATCATTTTTCATTTTGGAGTACTCATAATTTTATATTGATTAAATTAAGTTTAATCACTTAAAATCGAAACTCTTCCACATATATATGTATATTAAAACTATAATATATATTAATTTATATTGTAATTAATCAACCATTATATTAATGCAACATTTAGCCCGTATTTTTTACATTCTTTTCTATTATTTTTTCCACAGTATTCATTGTCAATCACACATTTTTCATCAAAATAATATTACACCCAAATAAAAAATATTTCATTTTTTTAACCACATATTCTCCATCAATTACTATTCCAAATACATTACTTCAAATTAATAGGCTCAAACGGGGCCTTAATATATTACATTATATAATTATAATAAAATTACATCATATGTGAGCTTCGATTTTTAGTAGTAAACTTAATTTAAATTATGTAATTTAAGTAATTAAACTTAATTTGATTAATGTATAAAACAATAAGCATTATACTTAAATGGATATTAAATGAAGTTAAATTATATTAAATGGTACAATATTAAATCTATAAGGGTACAATTGTCATGCAGCTAAATATATAAGGGTAAAACTGATATCCAAGAGTTTTTCCTCAACCCACACTTCAAATATATTGTAGATTAGGATGTATTGTTTTTAATAACAATTCCCGTCTAAAAAGTTCATTGAGAGGACATAAACTAATTTATTTTTACCATATTTTATAGCAAATAATAAATGCAAAAGTATGATGAATTTTTTCCATAGCATGTAAATATAATAATTTGATAGAAATCATTGTAAAAATCGAGTCATGCTAATTAATGAAATATTGAATATAAAATTCGATAAAAGTTGATGCTTTATTTGTAGTATTTTGAATATATTGAAGATCTTTTTTTCTAACAGTAAATTGATATCTAAAATCAATTTAACCTTCTTTTGATAAATATGATTATAAATTATTATAAATTCAGTCAAAATTAAATTTTAATTTTAATCATAAATTTATAATATCTAATTATCTATTGATAATTATGTTGACATTTCTAAGATTCATCACTTTCCTATTTATGAATCGGTCTATAAATTTGTAAGGTAATTTTCAGAGGCAAAAAAGAAAAAGGGAAAATTGCAGCAGCGGTACCAAATCTTTCATTTATTACAGACATTGTCCAAACTTTTCATTTATGTCACCGTGAGTACCAAATCTTTAAAAAATATACACTTGAGGTCCAAATGGATGGTTTTCTTTAATTTGACCATTAGTTGATCCAATAAATTGACTTTGATCAATTTTAATAGAGGTAAAATTGTAACTTTGAAATAAACTTAAAAACAAAAAAAAAAAGAAACAAAAAATAAAAAACGTCACTGTTCATCTTCTCCTTCACCCACCCCCACTGTTTATCTTCACCAACCCTTTCTCCCTATACTATGCCACCGCAGTCCAAACCTTGATGGATACACGGCAAGGCTGAAATACGCCACCTCTTTAGGCGTCAGCCTCCGGGCCATTCCAGTCACAAGCTTAGTCGAGTACACTGCAGCCCAACTCACCCATGGCTCACCCGGATCCTCATGAGTCTTTTTCTTGCTCAAACTTTCACCCACTGAACTCGGCTTGTCCTTCATTGATACCCTCCGATTCGACCCCACCAAACGAGTCTGAACCCGCTTCAACTCCTTCACTCGTTCATAATTCCCATTTGACTCATATAGAACTTCAAGTGTGGATCTTGGCCCAATACTGTGAATAACCGTATCCAGGTAAATGAGGTGTAGCAATGGCATCGCAAAGGGAAGGGTATGTTCGGCTAGAAGAGGATTAATTTTAGAGAATGATGAAAAAGACGAAAAATGGCCATTGAAATTGACAGATTCTTCATCAGTGAACTTGAGTTCATTTGCTGGGAAGCAGAGGGTTATGTTATCAAGACCCTGCATAGTGGGTGGGTTTTGTTTTGGGTGGTGTGGTGGGGTAGGGGTAGGGGTAGGAAAGAGAAGATGAACAGTCCAACATGATTTCTGTTGATTTTTTGTTTTGTTTTTTTTTTTTAATTTAAAGTTACAATTTTACACCTATTAAAATTGGTCAAAGTCAAGTTATTGGGTCAACTAACGGTCAAACGAACAGCAACCATCCATTTGGATCTCAAGTGCAAATTTTTTAAAGGTCTAATACTCACGATGGCAAAAATAAAAGGTTTGGGCAAGATCTGCTAATAAATAAAAGGTTTGGTAATTTTCCCAAAGAAAAATGAAAAGAAATTTCTCTTCCCAATTGTTTGTGGGCCGAGCCACGGGCTAACAGGTTTCAGTCAGCCCGCTCTCGATTTTCCAACTCTGAATTTCAAACTCCGTCAGCTGTTACACATTCCTCTTATTTTCTATCCATTTCAAGTTCTTGTTCCCACCGCCGGCCGTCCGATCGCAGTCCGATCAGACCTGTATCAAATACAATTACTCACAAAGAGATAGATATACATACATCGATACATACAGTGATACATACATAAATGTCGATGGGCAGCGACACGACATGGGTGGGAAAGAAACCACTGAAGCGAGTGGGAGGCATGTCCGATGCCCTCTCAATTGCCGCCGATCTCGGATTCTCCGTCCCCCCTCCACCTTCACAGGTGGTTCCACCACCTTCTCTCTCTCTCTCTCTCTCTCTCTCTCTCTATACTCGTACAATCTTGTTAATTGTGAATTTATTTGAATTTAGGGTTGATGTAATACTTTTTTTTTTTCAAAATAGGTTTACGCTTAATTGACTTTAATTTTCCTTTTTTCTTTATTTTTTTTGGTTAGGAAGATATTCAAATTTTATCTGCCGGTACTGGTGGAAAAGGGGATGACTTGGTAAGGATTTTAAGAGAATTAACTTCTGTACAAAGAAAAATTGCAGATTTGCAAGTGGAACTTCAGGGCCGGAAGGTGATGTATTAACATTTCCGCCCACTTTTCACAGCAATTTGGACATTTCTGTTTGACGTTTATATTAGGAAGCAAATGGATTTTTTTTTTTACCCACTTACCGGTTGCTGAACGGTGTACGACTTCTGGAAGGTCAAATTTGGAAGATTTGTAGTAACTTGATTTTATGCACTGGCTTCTTTGCATAAATTATTGTCCATTTAACTGCTGTCAAGCCACGCAAATTATGTTTAATGCATTGGAGTGAAACTCATTTCTAAATCAATGATCCGGATACTTTTGTCCAAACTAGTAGACAAGGCAGTAGTGCACATTCTGGACCATGTGGAGGGACACTGGCTAGAGCAAAAGGAGTGTATTTTTCCTTGCACAGCCAGATCCAACGATCATATCCTTGTTTTTTGGTCTTTGCTTTCTGGGAAATCGATAATGCTTGCACGTTTACATTTAAGCAGGTGCGTGCATAAGTCGATACGCGCATGTGTATGCTTGGATGAGCCTTTTCCCATCGAAAGAACTTTTTTAAATTTTTAGTCCAATACATCCTATAAGTTTGATATATTGCTCATTTAATTTTAGACACTATTATATCAATTACGAAATAAACTGTAATTATTCTACTCCCCTATTACCTTCCAATAACTGCAAGTTGCACATTATTTCACTCTCAGAAGTTCTACTTTGCTTAGCGACAGTAAAAGTGTATACAGTAAGCTTAGTTTACCAGACATCTTTCTTGGTGAATTCACGTTATTCTGTGGAAATTCTAGGAGGACAAGAATGTAGCTCATCTGACTCACGTGAGTGAAATGGAAAAGAAGATTGAGACTTTGGCTCGGATCACGACTATTTTAAAAGATGTTATTCAGAATAAGGTACTTTTCCTAATTAGAAATGTTTCATAGTGTTTATGCCATGCATTGATTTGATGTTATAGATACTTTACTTTAGTGTTTACCAACGTTATCGTAAAAGAGTTGCCTCACTACATGAGGTGGCAGTCTGCCTGAAGAAGATTTGTCACCAGTGAGAAGTTGAACCAAAATAACTTACAAAAGGCTAGACAAAGACAGATTTGGTTCGTCAATTACACAAATTCTGATTTCATATTTGGGAACCTCTGTCAGAATCTGTGAGTTCTTAGTCATTAACAGTGTATGTAGCTCCAAATAAGCGCTTAACCAGAAATGATAAATTACATTTTGGATTTGCGAGAGAGCAGATTGAGAAGGAAGTAAAGAGCTGTCTCACACTCTCACTTTGGCATCTAGTCTTTGAAACTTCTGAAAGTGTTGGGTAATTATTATATCAAAATCCACATCACAATTTTTCAACAAACCCACATGTATGGTCCGTATGGTTGTAAGATGGAAGAACGTTGCAGATGTAAAAGTACCAAGTCTTAGAATTATTCATAAATAAAATGTTTTATAACCTTAATATTTTTTTATAAAAGTTGCCTGGCTTCTATTCTAATCCAGACAAGCGTTTTAAGATTCTGATTGCTAGAGGAAGAAACATAGATACCTGCCTTTTGGATTAAATTTCTTCCCTGTCAATGTGTTTATGCATTGGTATTGTGTTCATAGCAGAATTAGTAACTCCATAACGGCAGCCTGTGGAAAATATATTCTTTAATGTCAATGCAAATCTCTGCCTTCCTTCTTTTTCTTTATTCTTGAGGCACATGTTCACTGAACCGTAAATGATATGTGTTGCTCTTAGATGATGTGCTTGACTTCTTGCTTTATAGGATAGGATTATAGCTCGCCTCCAACAACCTTATTCATTAGACTGCATTCCTGTGGAAGCAGAATATCAGGTATGTTATTTAGTCATATTTAATCTAATCAGTTTCCCTTAGAGTACGAATCTCACACACGTAATTGTGTGTTGCAAATTGCCAAGTTTACTTCACAATTTGAATATGCACAGACATTTTTTTTCCTATTATTGAGTACTTTATGCAGACATCAGACTTAGGAAATTATTGCCGTACCCTTAATATTAAGCCCCAGCTTAACAACCATTAAAATGAATTTTTAGGGGAAAATGAGATTTGAAATAGTGATTTTTTTGAAGAATGTGAGGTTATAAAGTAAGAAAAAGTTTTGGGCTTAGGTGCAGAATACTTTTATGTGAGAATGTGTAGTTGAAAATGAGTTTGAGAAGAAAAAAAAGAAACAAATACCATGTTTTTCTGTAAACAATAATCTGGCTGCTTTCGAAATTTTGCTGCACTAATTTAACCTTAACATCACCTAAAGATTGTACTGTTATTTTGAATATTACATAGACTAAGTGAGATACTTACGTCTTTCTTTTGTACAGAAACAATTTTCGGAGTTATTAATGAAAGCAGCAAGTGATTATGGTGCCTTGACAGCTTCCGTGGCTGATTTTCAATGGAGTCAGAACTTTAAAGAACCGCCTACAGTATGGGGGGTATGTTAACTGGAGATCCTATATTTGCTTTGATGACTTCTGTACACATCCTCAACTATCTACCCACTCTACCCAAACGAAAAATCACAAACATATGCTTGCAAAAATGCACAAATACGAAGATCTTCTGTGGTCTTTCTTCTCAGAAGCATAATTTCATTATGCTGGTCTAACCCATCTTTAGAACCTTGTATAATGTTCCCTTGTTATATGTTCTTAAACTGTTAGCACAAACAATGCTATCCTGTACTGTCTTGTTTGCGCCACTGAAACCTGAATTGATTTGGTGGTAGACCCTTTAATTTTTTGAAGTCAGGTGGAAGGGGTTGATTGGTAACTAGAAAGTACTGCCGCATAGGTTGATAACCTCATATCCCCACTTATGAAGCCATTTGTGTAGGTCTCCCCGTTTTACTCCTGGCAGTACCTTGGAGAATAAATTAGAATGAAAAGAAGAATTGAGAAGGGAGATGAGAAAATTGGTTCAACTCTATTACCATGAATCATAGGAGTTACTATTTTGCTAAATACGCCTAAATACGCTAGGAAAGATGGAAATTCATAACGTTTAATTAGATTTTTGAAGATCAAAAGCCATGAAGGATTTTGTCGCTGAGACTACGCTGTCGAGTTTTTCGTCATCGGACTTGTTTTTCTAAGCAATATCTTTTGCTATTTTATTGGTTTGTTCCATTAATGCACCTTAACCATATTTCATGATTTAGGAAATGCTCCGTCCAATTCCTGTTGCTTTAGCATCATGCACTCGATTCTTTGAAGCCATGACTGCAATGAGAGAGTCATTTGCCAAACTTCAAACTCTGAGAGTTGGCCATTCCTCTGAAAGAGTGCAAGGAGATTCCAACTGTGTAACTCCTCCACCTTGGAGGAATGAATCAAACTTTGATGATTTAGCCATTGGGAGCGCGAGAAGGCAAGAAAGCAAGCAGCTAGAAGGGGATGAACCAGGTAACGAAGTTGGGGACTCGAATCTGGTTGATAGCACAAGTTTCAGGAGACTGTCCTGGCCTCCTTCAGTGAAGAAAAATGGACTATAAAACTCCTTCGTTAATTTGCCGCAAAGAGATGAAAAATAGAAAATGAAAATTGTTTGCCGTATTTCAACAATGATACGAGTATTTGTGGAAATCTTGGTGTGGGTATTTGTTGTAATTACATTTCTCCGGATATTATATCGACTTGTTTAATTTTCATTTTACTTGTCTTAGTGGTTGAAGTTATATGCTAGTTCCATTTATTGGTCTTTTGTGTACCAAAATCAGCAAAGGAATGGATACTTGTTAACTCATGAGATAATTGTGGAGTTCAGAAATCAGTAGATCACAGAGAGAGTAAGGAAAAGCGAAAATTGCCCCTTAAGTTGAAGGACAATGTTTCACATACCGAGTTTTTTTATCGAATTTTTTACCTACCACTCACAACAAGGATGGGCACCACATGTCGACATTTTTAAATTCATGCGAGGCCTGCATTCATTGTGAGAGGTGGACACTATTCGGTAAGTATGGAATATTCCTAAGTGGAATTGTTTATAACCCGTAAACGCTACTGGCCCCAAAATTCTGGTATCGGCCCAATTGTTTCTACAGTTAAGAGGTAATTGCAATGATCCAACTTTTAATAAATACTAAGAAAATTATAACTAGATGTTATGGATTAAACAGAAGAGCTGTATTACCAAGAGCAAATAGGAAAAAATGAAAGAATAAAAAAAGATATAAAGAATTGAGGTTCGCTCTAAGACTCTTTATATAGGAGAAAAATATTAAAACGACCTAGTACACAGGCAAATTTCTCAAAGTACTCTCATAACACATACATGATTTTGATTTGCTGCCAAGAAAAAAATGTACTTGAAATTAGGCTCCACAAATCCCAACACCAAGAGGTTTATCTTAGTACAGTGGTGTAAAATGCTTCATCCAGAATCTTCTCGAGTATTATATCTTTAAGGGCTAACGGAGTAGTTTCTAGCATGTCAAGGCCGGCCTGGTTTGCAAATGTGAAAACTGCAGCTGCCTAGAACAGAAATCACATTATCAATAACAGTAAAGTGAATACAACAAAAAAGTACTAGAAGTTCGCTAATGTTCATTTGGACAGAGCAGCACATAGTAGCATCTGTATGGTGCCAAAGTTGTTTCAGAACAGCATCGCTGATTTGTGAATCAACCTGAAAGAGTTCTCTTCCAAGGTGCATTCTGAAGTATGAGAAATATGATTAGGTCATAATTTTTTCAACCAAAGAAATTTTTTTACTGTGAATACTAGTGAAGGCACGTGCGTTACATGTGTTAGTGGGTGATGTAGTGTAAGTAATAGTGTTATAATTTCGTTATGTAGTATTTGAATTAAGAGTGAAACTTGTTTTGAATGATGATTAAATTGGATTATATAAAATATTTGTTTACAGGTACTTACATTGGGGGTAGTAATATGTAGCACTTATAAGCCATACTTAGTTACATGGATATTAACATGTTAATATGTACAATGAACAAAATGTAGTAAGACAAGTAGAGATGTTGGGAATGAGGTGCGTTGAACTGTGGGAATACACATAAACATACATGGGCTTAGCTCATAACCTTTTAGCTCTTCGAACATAAAGCTAATAGTAAAAACTTGCTCGGTTGGGATCTCAGAAAGAAATTCGTTTTTTTTAAAGATATTTAATAGAAGATGATGTAGAAGAACGACGTACCCTAGTAGAAATAAAACTATAGGTACATCCTGATTCCTGAGTAGCCACATTTTTGTGAATAAGTTTATAAATAAAGGTACAAGAGGCTTTATAAACTTTAGGTGATTATCTGACCAGAAACATGAAGTTTGCTATGTCCATAAATTTTCTGAGTTATGGATCAGCGATGTAGTGTACATCTGCATTAGATTTGTCTTCCTTTCTTGTGTTCTGCATTCTTCTTCCTCTCTCTCAAACTAGGGCTCTTTTGCTTTTAGTTTATTGGATACGGACCTTAATGAGGCAGCCAGATGATCATTACGATGTGCTGAAACTAATTTAAGTAGTCTCATGTGCCGTATGCCTGATTTAAGATTTTCCCAGGTCAATGATATTTTTATCTTTCAAAAATTGCCAAGCACGGGCCTGATGGATGTCTTTGCAATTACTTGAAGTTCACGAGAATATCCAAACAACGGACGTGGGCCTTTCAAAGCCTAATTCCATAATATTGAGCTCCTAAAATGTTTGAAGCTCCTTATACGAACAGTCTAAACTTCAATCCTTATTTCTTCCGAGAAGCCCAAAACTTAGATACATTAAGCATTTGAAACCACACTCCACCCAGCTTAAGCCTTAAATGATAGTCCACCACAGCCATGATAGCCCTATGTTTCACAATCATGATATACTTGCCATAGTTTTACTATGCCATGATTATGGAGCAAGAACAATGCTTATGGTAAAAGGAATAAAACGGGTGAATGATATACAAAATTTCCACAAAGAACAAATATCGTGTTCTTTTCACATGTTCCATCACAGCCTTCTCTAGTAATAAGAACCTGGCCTTCAACAACATTATACTGAACATCTATCAAATATAGTAATAGGAATGGTTAATGACAATATAAACCAACAGTTGTGCTTCTATACATGCTAAAAAAATATTTTCTGGAGGGCAGTGGGGAGATAGGAAAGATGGAAAGCATGTAACTCACATAATTATACTTACACAAGACTGACAATCCAACAGAGATCTTTCAAGGAATGTGAATGCGACTATCCAACATGTATGTGACCATGAGCATTCTCATCATGGTGATCATGAGAATGGGAGTGCTCACCACATGCAGGAATAAAATAGAAACAATAAAAGGTATGAAAGCAAAGTACAATAAAGTGAATTATATTTTGCAAAATCAAGTAGCTTCTTCAGATCGGGAAATCAAGCTGGAAGTAGAGACCAGAAAGGAAAAGAAAATGATATCTTCTCTCCAAGGCACAAATTTATTAACTTAACAGTTTCACCAGCTGAAGTCCCACCGTGCTATATAAAAAAACATATGACAAATCTATGTTAACATAACATCTTAATTCAATTGGTACACGGGGTCTACATATGAAACACACACTCGTAAACCAGCAGAAAAAATATGTATTATACATGACTGCTAAAAACTGAGATCACAGACTCATACTAACTTTTCCATAAGGAGACATTCTACTTGTGGTCAATGATTAATATAATCTGCGTTAACTTTTTATTAAGTTGCTCGAAATTAAAATATTGTAAAGTCTTGTGATACTACGTATTCACAAGAGAACGTAAAGAAGAAAGCAATCAAAAGCATGAGCTTCTTAGAGTAAAAATTATCTTGTTTCCTTTCACATAATTTTCATATCTCATGTAATTTTGCTCACAAACAAGTGATGGTCTGTAAACATATTCAAATCAAAATTATTAAAGTTGGTGCAGTATCCATTCTCCCTGCATCTCTACTTCACATCACCAAAGAAAAGAAAGAAATATAAATATTACATAATATTTAATGGGCATTATATTTTTTGTCATGGGAACAAAACATTTCTGGGTGTATAGAATCAACAAAATATTCAATATTGAGCAAAGTTTATTATGCCATATGGAAAAGAATTAGTTCATTAAAAGGTATTGTCAAGGTGATATTTAGTACATTCAGCAACAGAATGTGATTTATTTGTCTCAAAATTCAATACCCCCCATTGCACAAGTGTTAGCCCATGTTTGGCTAATGTTTATAAATTTATAATCGGTCAAACCACTTTTTATTCACACATTTTGTGGGACATACAGGTACTACCTATTTATCCGAACCAGAAGAAGAGGAAAAAAACTCTATTTCGACTTCATTCCTAATATTTTTCTATTTTTTCTTTTAGTTTTCCATTCAGCACGGCTATTCACTGACCAAAACTTTATTTATGCCAAGAAATGGAATTAGAACACTAGCTTAGATTAAACAACTAAAAAATAAAAAAGCTTTAATTCACAAGTGAGGAAAACAACAGAACTTTTAGCATCAATTAATTACAAAACATAGGCATTAGCTTGTTTTGCATATGTACCAAAAGCATGTGGCAATTGGTGAAGAAAAGCATCGCCCAACATCGCTCCTGCTTGCATAAGTGAAGTTCAATCAAAATCAACCTAGTGAAACTCAAATGGAAAAATCACAATCGAGTTAAAAAAGGAAAATTAAGGGTAAAAACTCCCAAATCGGCCAAAAAAATCTCCAATATACCCATAGCAACTTCTTCTAATCCTCGTGAAAGCATTAAAAGCGAAGATCGAACAAAATTTGAAACTTCTCATCTAGATGACCGTAAACGAAGAGGAACCCCAACTCAATTTTCATGTATAGACAGAAACAATAACAACATACCTTAAATAAAGTTGAAGAAAATAACAAAGACTGGCAGAAAACTCGCTTCTTCGCAGAGTCAGGCGAAGGGTGAATGATTTGTGTCAGAACATATCGTTGAAGGACACGGCAGTATGGTTGTTGCTAAGAGAACAGATTAAACGGCGCTAGGGTTTCCTTTTGTCGAGCGAAAATGAGAATGAAAATGAAAATCGAACATAGAAGAAGAAGATTTTTCAGATTTCTGTATTTCCAAGGCAACAAACACACACTGATATTTGTATTTCCAATGCCTCCCCCACTAGGTGAGCCGGCCTAAAATTTGGCTTGCGAGTGAGCCGACCCAAAGGCTTGTGAACAGTAACACAATATATATATTGTGGATAGAGATATAACTATATACTAGACAAATGAATTGGCAAAGAAATTGCTTTTCAATGTCCACCATTGTTTCGGCCTATATAAGGAGTATGACGTAAAGTATTTACTATATAGTATAAACATTTCCATTATGAATATTTACCAGATCAGGTATTGATGGGAAGAGAGCTTTTGAAATTCCCAAAGATGTACAGTCAACGGGAGTTCCTGCAAAACAATATGGGAAGATAAGTAAAGCAGAAAACAAATGCAAACAGCATGGTAGAAAATGGATAGCAGATTAGAAAAGAATGTGGCAAAGGACATTTGTATCTAGCATTAGCATCATCTAATTTGGAAACAGTGTCATCCCTCCACCTTAAGTGATAGGGATAAGCTTGATAAAAATGTGACAGAAAGAATATTCTAATACAAAATGATGAGTGAAGTATAGAAGCATAGTAAGTAAAATTTGCTGTCTTAACAAATTAGTCATGCCATTATTAGTTAATATTGAGCCATAAAGTTGGAAGGCAACATATGGAACTATCGTGCACTATAATGGCAACCAAATAAAGCGAAGAATGCTTTACATCTAAAAGAAATAAAAAAAAGGAATAGAAGACCTATGAAAAGGTCTTGCAAAAGAAATACTTTCACATCTTTTCTAAGCATTGCTCTACCAAAAGAATAGATTATTTGGAGTTTCTCTACATCATGATGGATTATATAAAATCATACAAGGCATTTTCTTTATTTTTTGAAGATTTCCTATCATCAATAATATACAAGAGATGCCTGAAATTTCTGGCTTCACCCTTAACTGAATAATCAACCACAAATTCTCAACATTAAGAGCAAATAAGTGAAAAAGATAATGGATCCATACAAGTAACATATTAAATATATGAATTGAAAGAAACAAGACACATTACAGTTAACAAATATAGCATGGACATTAAGACTTGGAACTGAAGCTCAATTTATACACTTATACATGAGCATATGATTCATCATTTAAACAGTCATCTTTTATTCTAATTCATTGGTTGATTCCTTGTGTCTAGTCACATGAATTTTTGCAATTTTATTTTCCTTGGCATAAATAACTCACAGTTTACAAAATGATGAAATTGATCTCATAATTGTACACTACACGCAGAATGTTTTGATGTGCAATTTCATCTTTTTTTTCATTTTTTTTTTCTTGGTAAAATAACTTCCAGATGAAGTCTTTCTAATTGTTAAGTTTAGGAATACAAATGGAAGGATGTTAAGTTTAATGGGTCTAAGACATTACTTGTCCAATTATTGCATAAAACATGCACTATACTTTTCTAGACTTCCACAAAGGAGGAACGCAAAATGACGAAAGTAAAAAAAGATTATAATAACTCATGAAATTTCAACAAACAATTTGTGTCAAGCTAAGTACTCATCCAAAAAATTTTCGAGCCAATATAATTTTGTAATAAACTAAAATCATTTCTCATCATTCAAACTCTACTTTTGCCCCCAGCTTCCAACACCGGTTTCGTAACTTAAAAATAACACTAATTGCTACAAAACTACAACTAAGAAAACATAAACCATATAATTCTGAATCCCAAAAAAGGAAAGCTAATTAGTTAGCAGGAAATATTGTAGTCATTTATACTTCCTTAACAATCCAAAAGCATTGCAGGTAACTTTCAAAATTACAACTTTGATCTTTGAAAAGTCATAATACGTATCTTCTCATTACATAAACCTAATATTAATCATCAAAATGAACTCATAAAAAGTCAATAAAAGTCTAAAATTCTCAATCCAACAAGATCAAACCAAAAACACAGAGAACTTAACAAACCCAGACATGGCAGACACATCATTAACAGCACCACCAGATCAGTTGGGACACTCACTTGCCTTTACAGTTTACATGCCTCTGCCCATATTTCCTCTAATCGTAGCCATCATTTTCTACTTTTGGGACGAGGATTTGAGGTCATTGCAGCAGTTCGGGCCACGGGTGTCGAGAAGGAGATAGCTTTTCGAACTATGAAACAGAGGAGTGGGTGTGATGGATGATTCGACGGCGGGTAAACCCGTGATCATCGGAATCGGGTGGTTGTGTATATAGTACAAGGGCAGTGCAGTGCCGACGGTTGGAGAAAGGCATCAAAGCGGGGTTTGGGAAGACATCGGAGTTGCTACAGTCTGGTGTAGGTAAGATTACGATGGCAACCGTGAAAATGAAAACCCAAACTTTGAAACGTATTAGTGGGTATGATGGATGATTCGACAGCTGAATCTGATGGTTGTGTATATAGTATAAGGACAGTGTGGTGCCGACAATTGGAGAAGACAAAGAGTTGCCACAGTCCAGTTTGTAAGATGGCTAAGGCAACCGTGAAAATGAAAACCGAACGTAGAAGAAGAGATTTTCAGATTAGTCTACCGAGTCTCAGGAGGAAGAAAGAAGAAAGAAGGTAACAAATGACTATCCTAGAATCAAGAAGACACTCTCTGATATTTCCAAGTTCCAACGCCTCCCCCATTTAAAAACTAATGGCTGAGCCGATGCAAAATTTGGCTTGTGAGCCGACTTAAACGGCTTGTGAACAGTAACCAAAATCGCCTCTTTTATATGTATTTAGATATATATATATAGTTAGATAGAGATAGATTAGATATATTGTGGATATGTGACTGGGTTATGACAGACTAAATGCACACAACATTTGGTTTGTGTTTAAAAATATGTTAAATTACTTTTAAGCTACTTATCTATAATATATTAAATATCACATTAAGTGAAAATTATTTCTGGACAATTCTCTCTTACTATAATTTTATTATTTCAATAATATCTTACTTTTTGTTTTACAATATGTATTTAATTATTTCAACAATACCCTGCTTTTTATTTTTTAATATGTATTTAATTTATTAATCATTTGAATCATTTAACAATATTATTATTAATTATACTGTCAACTATTTAGTTATTGATAAGTGTATAAAATACACTTATTCAAGGCTTTAAACGATAATATTTATTTGCTTCTCGTATGAATTATGGACTAAATTATTTCATTTCGTGTTGAATAGATAAAATTCAATGATGGTACAAGAAATTGAAGGAAATAAGCAAAAGTTGACAAAATTAGAGAAAATGGACTAAGTTATAAGAGATTCAAAGTTTGAGGACTAAAGTGCAAATACTCAAAAGTTTTGTCAAACTTCATGATGAAGATTTAAGAGTTCTTAGAGTCAATTGAATAAAGAAAGACATCACAGGGACGAAATATAATCAAATTATGATCACACATCAAGTTCCAACCAAAGAAATGTATGCGTCGTTTTTAGACTAATATTGAGACCCACTTTTGACTAACAAATGATCGAATTTAAAAATGATATCTAAAGCAAAGTTGTAACTCTTTGAGTTAGCTTTCCAGTGCATCTTGAATCGCCTCGATTGGATATCGAAAGAAAAAATTATGATAAAAAGATTGAAAGTTGTGCAGTGAGATAGAATTGACGACAGCGCTGGGATAGCGCCCAAGCGTTACGTTTCTGATATTTTTTCCCCAAAAGTCAGCGCTTAGGCGCTGCAATCATAGCGTCCATGTGCTGCCATTAGTGCTTAGGCAGTACTTGAATTTGTTCACAACGCTCAGGCACTGATTAGCGCTCAGGCACTGCGTCGGAATTGTCTAGGGCGCGTTTTTGAGCCATTTTGAAATCCATAAAAATACTGCTTTCTACACAAACGAAGGAGGCGCCTATAAATACATCTTTCTAACACTTTTGAAGGATTCTTTACACATTGAGAGGCAAGATAACATAATTGGAGAATCAAAAGAGAAATTCAAAGGAGGATAACATCAAGCAATTGAAGATTTAAAGCATTGATTGGAAGGGGAAAGAGATTTTGGTACAAGAATTCTACTTTTTCTTCTACATCTTTACTACAAATCCGGTGATGAATTTCTTCTTTTTCTCTCGTTAATATGTGTAGTTAAATTTAATTTTTGGGCGAACAATGTAATCTATTGGGATCTTTATTTCTTTTATTTCAGACTCTTTGTTATTTTATATTTTATGTGTGAATTTTAATTATATTTTTCATGCTTTGAATTTTCTGGCCAATTATTCAATAATTTCATGAACAATAATTACGTAAAGATGCAAATTCTTGTTTAGACCAAATATTAAAATTCGGTAAATTAATATAACGTATAGAGATACCTATATTAATTGCTGCGATCCTATAGGAATTCTTAGAACTGTTATTTCGTTTAAATAATACTGATTCACATAGAGATATGGATTGAATTATTTAAATAGGTTCAATGAGAACTTGAGAGGGGCAAATTGAATACTATAGAAGAATTCGACCGAACGCTACTTTGATTTTATGAATCTCAATTTTAGAAGTAAAGGTGACCAATAAGTGAAGTTGTTCCGTCATAACATCAATTTATTGTTTGAATTCCAAATCACTTTATGTTACATCCATTCAAATTTTTAGTAATTAGATTTAAAAATCATATTCAATCATTTTTTTTCATCAAATAGAAGTTAGGAATAATAAATTGAATATTAAAGTATAGTCCTCGTGGAATGATAACCCGAACTCAAAAAATTTAATTTACTATTTATTATGATCCGTCCACTTACGGGATAAAATTGACAACACTTATGATTAATGTGCTTTTGACATATTCATTGCCTTACTTTTCGTTTTTTAATATGTATTTAATTTATTTAATCATATTTGACAGATTCATTAGCTTTTTGTTTTTCAATATGTATTTGATTTATTTAATCATTTGAATAATATCATCATGAATTATTTAGTTATGATCATTGTACACATATTCATTCCACTTGATTGGATAGTAACCTAAATTCATTAAAATATTTTTGGAACAAAAGATGAATATTTTTAGAGTTTTTTTTTTCAATTAATTTATACAACGAATGTTTAGATACCAAAAAGGTAAATGAGGGGGACATAATGCATGTCTATTATAAATAATTTTAATTGATATATTCAATGTATGTTAAGAGACTATGAAAAAATGATAG